TTTGTATTTTTTAAATTCGGACTTGTATTGCCCAATTGGTGCACAATTAATTTTAAATCGGAAAAAGATATATATAGGAGCTTTAGATTTACCAAAGATATTTCTGAGCTGTATTTGATATATTTCCCTGAATATCGTTGTTACGGTTGTGGATAACAAATATAACAAATCGGATGTATAATATATATGGAAGCTATAGCTATATCTGAACCGATCTTCACCAAATTTGACATACTAGCTTCTAGACTCAATTCGGTCGTAAGTGCCAAATTCCGTCCCATTTAGACAAATATTAGACGTTTGGTGCACAATAAAGAGTAAATCGGACGAAGTTATATATGGGAGCTATATCCAAATCTGAACTGATCTCGATAAAATTTAGCAAATGTATTTCTGAAATGTATTTGATAAATTTCCCAAAATACTGTTGTTGTAGAGTGCATATTACGGCTGCGGAGGGCAAAAATAACAAATCGGATGAATAATACATATGGAAGCTATAGCTATATCTGAACCGATTTCGATCAAATTTGGCATACTTATTTTCAGGCCTAATTTGGGTGTATATGCAAAATTCCATACAATTCAGACTAATATTACACGATTGGTGCACAATAAAAGGCAAATCGGACGAAGATATATATGGGAGCTATATCTAAATTCTGACCGATTATCTCCAATTTCAATAGGGTTCGTCCTTGGGTCAAACAAATGATTTGCGCAAAATTTCATCTGGATAGGGCAGTAAATGCGAACTGTACTTTGTTTACAAAAATACATGGACAGACGGACGGACGGACATGCATAAATCAACTCAGAATGTGATTCTATGCAGATCATCAAAAGGAACTATGGGTCTATCTCGTTTCCTTTTGCCTGTTACAAACAAATGCACAAAGACATAATACCCTGACCACCATGTGGTGTAGGGTATAACAATAGACTTCAATTCTGACCCTAACCCTACTAGGACAAATATTTCTATATGCGTAGGACAAATATTTTTAGATGTTATATAATTGTTTGTCACAATGAAGCTTATAATACCCCCAACACATAGTGTTGTAGATTATAATAATTTTTTTTTTAAAATACTGGTAGCTTCGCTACCCCTTTCGATTTGCATTCAAAATTTTATAGACAAATATTTTGTGTTTAAAAAAATAATACAAATTCAAGGATTTAAAAATAATAATCGTATCCTCAATTAAATTGTTCTGTAAGCCCAATACCACTACAAAGGTATTAAATCATATCCCAATCTGCACCGATTTCAATATAATTTGACAGAATTTTTTTTTTGGACCAAATTCAGTCACACCTTCCATATTTGATTAAAATTAATATTACATAGCGAATTTGGTGCATCAAATATACGGAATCGGCCGAAAATATATATGGGAAGTATATCAAAACCTCAACCGATTTTAATATAATTTGTAAAATTTATTTTTGTACCAAATTCCACCACACATTCGGAATTTCATTGGAATCGGATATACATATCGTGTTTGATGCATAAACCTCAACCGACTTCAATATAGTTTGGAAAATTTAATTTTGTACCAAATTCTACTACACATTCTGAATTTTATTGGAATCGGACATACATATCGTGTTTGGTGCATAAAATACATGAAATCGGCCGAAATATATATGGGAGCTATATCCAAATATCAATGGATTTCAATAATATTTGACACATTTATTATTGTAACAAATTCCGTCACTCATTCCGAATTTCATTGGAATCAGACACATATATCGTGTTTGGTGCATCAAATATGTGAGAACGGTCGAAAATAGATATGGGAGCAATATCCGAACCTTAACCGATTCTAAAATAATTTTTTTGTACTTTCCGTTATTTAAAAACTTTATTTTGTCACTTTGAGATTTGGGGATATAATTTGATACCGAACACCATAGTATGGAGGGTAGATTAAGTTTGTCATTCCGTTTGTAACACCTCAAAATATACATTTTAGACCCCATATATTCCGGATCAGAATAAAATTCTTTGTCGATTTAGCGATGTCCGTCCACCACTTTAGCATCCGAACGAAATGCTAAGTTGATCATATTATACTCAGATGTTTTTTTTTTTTATGTCTGCATGACTTTTAGAATTTTTGACAAAAACGCTACATGGGCCCACGTTTGGTTATTTTAATTTTAATCAGAGTCAGATAGTGTTCCCAGTATGTAGGAAACACTCTTGCATAGATCTGTCCACAGAGGTTCAAGTTCTTGTCTAGTCCCCATATAACTGCACCTGCAGATACTCGGTATTTTGATGAGTTGCGTCACAATTTTCACTAGAGGTGTTTCAAAGTTGTAATGGGTTCGTAATGAGTACTACCTTCTATGTCAGAAAATTTCCTGTAATTTAAATTTCCTAAATTTTTCAACAAAATTATCTTAAACTTGGTGTTTGGAGTTTGTACCACCGCCTCTTCTGGAAGATAATTGGCTGTAGGGGTCTACGTTTTCCTATATCCCTATAACACCTGATATTCAGAATGTTTACAATTATAAAGACATTTTTCATCGGGGTTTGCAAGTTCCTTCCAAATGATGGAGAGTATAAGCAAACTTAGCTTATTTTTTTACCCTCCACATACATAGTGTGGAGGGTATATTAAGTTCGTCATTCTGTTTGTAACTCATCGTAATAATCATTTTAGACATACCAAAGAATATATATTCTTGATCAGCGTAAAATTCTAAGAGGATTTATCCCTGTCCGTCCGTCCGTCCGTCCGTCTGCCTGTCTGTCTGTTTTAATCACGCTAGAGTCAAAACGAATAAAAATAGGAAGCTAAAATTTGCACAGAACAGTCTTTGGTCTACAGGCAGGTCATCTTCCACGATGGGCTACATCGGTCCACGATATCGTATAGCCCCAATACAACCGTACCCCCCGATATTCGGTATTTTGATGAATTTTATGCATATTTTTCAATTGAATTGTCTTAAAATTAACACAAGTGCAAGCACTTTACTCCCTGGAAGAGAATGTTCTACATAGGCTTACGATATCGATATCACCGTACCATCTGAGAGAGAATTGTTTATATAGATACACGATATCGTATAGCCCCCATACAACGGTACCCCCCGATATTCGGTATTTTGACAAGGAGTTCCTTTTGAGTACATTACCCCCTGGAAGTGAATTGTCTATATAAGTCTACGATATCGCATAGCCCCCATACAACGGTACCCCTCGATATTCGGTATTTTGATGATTGTAGCCAAAATGTTCAAAAATTGTCTATAATACACAAAAGGATTTAATTCTGAGTACTTCATCCCCTGTAAGATCTATATAGGTCCACGATATCGTATATCCCCAATATAACGGTACCTCCCTATATTCGGTATTTTGATGATTTAAGTAACATTTTTCATTGCAATTGTCTAAAAATCCATACTAGAAGTTCTTTCCAAGCACTTAACTCCCTGGAAGAGATATATCTATATAGGTCCACGATATCGTGTAGCCCACATACAACGATACCCCCGATTTTCAATATTTTGACGATTTTAGGGACGTTATTTACCGGAGTTGTTTCAAATTTCGTACCTAGAATTCGTAATGGGTACTATAGCCTATGACAAAAATTGCTTATACAGATCCATGTTTTCGTATAGCCTCCATATTCGGTATTTTGATGATTTTAGCCATATTATTCAGCGGATTTTTTTCAAGTCTCATATTTGAATATTGTAATGGCTTATGACAAAAATTGCCTATGCAGGTCCACGTCTTCGTATAGGCCCCAATATAACGGCTATATTTGGTATTTTTAAACCCTCCACCATTCTATGGAGGGTATATTAACTTTGTCATTCCGTTTGTAACTCCTCGAAATACTCATGTCAGACCCAACAAAGTATATATATTCTTGTCCGTCTGTCTGTCTGTTGTAATCACGCTATCTTTCGAATGAATTGAGATAGATGGCTAAAATTTTGCACACATGTTTAGTTTTCCAGTAGGCAGGTTAAGTTCGTAAATGGGCCATGTAGGTCCACGTTTTCATATAGCCCCCATAGAACGGTACCTCCCGATTTTCGGTATTTTAATGATTTTAACGACATTATTCACCGGAATTGTTTCAAATTTGGTATTTAAAGTTCGAAATGGATACTACACCCTAAGACAGAAAATTGTCTGTGCAAGTCTACGTCTTCATATAGCCTCCATATAACGGTACCTCCCGATATTCGGTATTTTAATGAATTTAGCGACATTATTCACCGGAATTGTTTCAAACTTGGTATTTGAAGTTCGAATTGGATACTTCACCCTAAGACAGAAAATTGTCTGTGCAGGTCCACATCTTCGTATAGCCCCTATATAACGGTACCCCCCTATATTCGGTATTTTGATGATTTTATCGACATTATTCACCGGAATTGTTTCAAATTTGGTATTTGAAGTTCGAATTGAATACTACACCCTAAGACAGAAAATTATCTATGCTGGTTGAGGTCTTTGTATAGGGCCCATTCGTTCCGAATGGTGGAGGGTATTCAAAGTTCGGCCCGGCCGAACTTACTACTTTTTGACTTGTTAAAATTTTAACAGAATTTTTGTCGAATGTTATTTTTTTTTTTTTTTTTTTTTTTTTTTTGAAAATTTCCAAGCTCGTTCCAAATGGTGGAGAGTATTCAATGTTCGGCTCGACCGAACTTACACCTTTTTTAGTGGCTTACTTGTTATTTTTTTGATGGCACTATTTAATACTATACCCCAAATTTTAATATTGAATAACAATTAGGTTATTTGAATCTTAGGAGTCTTTATTTTGATCCAAAGTTTATAACTCGAATATGCCCTCGTACACACTTTACAATTTAATTAAGTTGCCAACGGAATTCCAAACTGAAAACGTCAATTTCGCTTACCACAAAAAAAACTTATTTTTTTTTATTTAAAGATAATATTTTATTTATTTTTTTATAATTTAATCATATCATAACTACCATCGAAAAATATTTACAAAAAAATTGCACTTGAATCGAAATCGGATTCAATGTATGCTCCTCCATATAAACAATTACTACCAGTATTACGTATAAGATAATTAACTACTATTCATATTAAATGTGTTATTTTTTATTGATTTTTTTTCTTTTTTGTTAAAGTTATTTCATTTTCTGACAGAATTGATTGATTTTTAAAATCAAATTCGAAGATGCTAATATGATTTTAGTTTCATTAGTAATACTACAACATAAAAAAATTGTATTTATACAAAATGAGAGATTTTTTTAATAAAATTAAGATATAATTTAAAAAAATGTTTAAGTCTTAATACTATTCTAATACACTTGTTAAATTCTATTAACTTTTTTTGCAATTTGTTTTTTTTCTCTTTCGGTAAACCACATTTGAAAAATTACAATTATAAAGAGGAGGAATTACAAAGAATTGATTTAGCTATATACATGATTTGGATTTATTCAATGTTATTGGAATTGTTTATATAAAAAAATATTACACTTAATTATGATATAATTATTTATGTATTTTTTTCTGACTTTCTTAATTAAACCATTTACATTAACTAACTCAATTGATAATATTCGGGCACAAAATCATTTGCTAAATTACTTAAGAAATTAAAATCCGATGAACTATTGGAATTTTCCACCATACCGGTGAGATTGCCTCCCGGTCCGGCAGTTTGCGGGAAATTATTGTTGTGGTGTGCTTGTGTCATGGCAGCCGTTTGCGGCACATTTGCAGGATTAACAAAATTGGCGGCCACAGCATTTGTTGGCATTTGAACGTGTGGCGGTGGTGGTTCACTGTCCAGGAGACCATCTACTGGCATAGGTGGCCCGACATGGTTATCTGCAAAAGAAGATTCGATTTTAATAAGTATACAAATACGTTTTAATCTCCAAATTGAAATTGAAAATGGAAAATATTTTAAGTTTGTCATTTCGTTTGTAACATCTCGCAATAAACATTGCAGACCCAACCAAGTTTATATAAATTCTTGATCAGCATAAAATTCTATGTCAATTAAGCGATATCCGTCCGTCTGTGGAAATCACTTAGCTTCCGAACGAAATGAAGTAGGGTAATTACATTTGACCCAGATGTGTATTATGTTTGCAGGTATCTCTTGGTATTGAAAATTGACTATATAGGTCTACATTTTGGTACAGGTCACATCTAACTGTATCGACAGATTTAATTTTTTTAGGTGTTTTAGTAGCAATTTCAAATCGAATTTGCTGTAAATTGGGGATGTTGTTTCCCAGTGTGTTGTAAATATCTTTTGGGAGAACTGTAGATATAGGTCCCAGTTTTGGCAAAGACCCCATATAACTGTACCCCATATATCTGTGCCTCCAGATATTCGGTATTTTGATGATTTGTTTTACGATTTTCATCGAAGTTATTCTAAATTTGGTATTTGAAGTTTGTACTACAACCTATGACGGAAAACTGTCTGAACAGATCCACGCCTTCGTGAAGACCCTACATATACAGGGTGAGATGAAAATACTGCAACCAACTTCCGACTGCTGTCATTTCTAAGCCACTAGTCCGACAGATTCTAAAATTATTCCAGTGATAGTTCATTACATTCTTTACAATCGCACAAAAGCACCTTGGTGAGAATTTTCCAGAAAAAAAAGTTATTCGTGATTGAGTTCAAGCGTGATAGTGTGATTTCTTTATATTTGGCTGAAAAACCTTAAGTGGCTACCGTTAGAGCACTTCAGCATTTAAATGTTAATAAATCTTTTGTGTCTCTTAACATCGCTCGTTACCGTAATCCTGGTAGGGAGTGAACGGAAGAAAACAGCAACATCAGCAGAAATGGTTCGAAAAGTAAAGAAGCGACTTGATCGAAACACGCGTCGCAGTGGCCGAAAAATGGCTCATGAACTGAACATATCGCAATATTCCTTTCGGCAAATATTTAAGAATGAGCTCGGGGTAAAGCCATTGAAATTCCAAAAAGTGCAAGAACTTACACTGCAACGGAAAGAAAACAGACCTAAAAGAGCTAAATAGTTTCTTCGTTTGGCCTAAAGTGGTGAATTGCCGAATTAGGATTTTCTCCGATGAGGAAACATTCGTTGTCCAGCAGTATGTAAACAAACAAAATTATCGTATTTACTTGTTAGCTAAAAATGTGCTCCTTTTGTTGGTTACCAGAACCCAAGCGCCGGTCATGTTGATGTTGTGGGCCGCCATAACAGATGATAGTGGCTCTCCGCTCGTATTAATCGACCATGGCATCAGAATAAATGCCGAATATTATCGCGAAAATATTCTGGAGGGCGTATTAAAGCCTTGGGCACGCAAACATATTGGCGACAGACCTTGGACTTTCCAACAGGACTCAGCACCATCGCACTCAGCACGCTCCACCCAAGATTGGTTACAAAATGAAGTTCTGGCTTCATTTGACCACCAAAATCTCCGGATACCAATCCGTTGGCCTATTGTGTGTGGAGTATTTTGGAAGCAAAGTTGGCACTAAAAAATGCCAAAGTGTTGTCCACCTCAAGCAAGCGCTTTGCCGGGAATGGGCCAAAAAACCGCAGAGCAACAATCGGGCAGCGTGTGACGGTTTCATTGGCCGTTTGAAGGTCATAATTCGTGCCAAAGGTGACCAATTCGAATAAATCTAAACTTATTTTAAAATTTGATGATATGATGGCCTTTGACTTTGTTGCAGTTTTTATTTCACCCTGTATAAGACCTTCATTTTTCCCATATATATATATATATATATATATATATATATATATATATATATATATATTAATTTATCTATATTATATTCAATTTTCCTACATATATATATATATTATAATTTATTTATATTTGTTTTTCAAAATCATGAAATAATATAATTTATTTCGAAATTTTCTTGACAAGACCATCAAAATTTTTTTATTCATAGGGCAAATTGGATGAATTCAAAATATATTTTGACAGAAAACTTGATTGCCAGCTGCTCTATTGGCCGACGAAGAGTCCTATGGTGTGTTGATCAACACAATAACAAATATATATTGTTTTGAATTTTTTGTCAAAATGGTTTTTTTAAAAATATTAATTATTATTTAAGTGGTCTATGAGGAAGATACTGTCGGATATTTTGTTAAACTAACTCTGTTTATAGGGAGGCAAAGAAACACTTACAATATTTTTTATTTTTAAACACAATCACAAAATAATTTTGACACTCCTATCTTGCCCTGATCTGGACAATAACAAGCCCTATCACAATTTCAACAGATGGGTTTTTTTTTATGCAGATCAGGAATATATATACTTTATTGGGTATCCGACAAATATTTCGAGAAGTTTTTGAAGCGAAATAACGAAATTGTTATACCCTCCGCCGAATGATGTCGGTAGAGAATTGTAGAGCTCCAGCATTCCCCCATCGCTTAATATAAATCCCATAATATTTGGTATATTTGTAGTCCGAAGACCAAAAATTTATCATGAACAGGCCCATATTTACAATCTTGCCTTGCCTTTTCATGGTTCATTTTTTAAATTTTAAAAAAATTTTAAAACTTTTGTACCTCGGAATTGTGCAACCCTTAAGACCTTAATCAATTTATCAAGCTCTTTATGATCGTACAAAAGCCAAAAATACATTTAGTCACAAGAATGTCAAAAATCCCTACCGTAGAATGTCGTCGCTATAATGACCTTAAGCGGCCGAACTCCAACGCACCGAAACTTTTATTCGACCGAACACTTAGTTTCCCTTTTTACTCCAGACATTAACAAAACAAAAACTCACTTACCATTCAAGACTTGTTGATGGTGGCCAAAATGTGAGCCATGTCCATGATGGTTATAACCATGCGGATTGTAATGATGGTCTACAACACCACCCTGTTGTGGATGGCCGGGATGTTGTGGCGGATGTGAATGCGGATGCAAATGATGATTACCGTAAAATTGATGTTGCATTTGATTGTGTTGGACGACACCACCACCAGGTGCCGCGACTGGTGGCGCCGAACCCTCCATGTGAATACCCAAAGCCGAAGCAGTGGGTGAATTTATGTGAGACATATGCAATTGCTGCTGATTGTGATGATTGAAATCACCCTGTTGATGTTGTTGAAAGCCGAGCTGGTCGTAATAGCCTGAGCCAGCACCATTTGCTACATGGCCCTTGGGATCGTAGTAATTGCCAGAACCATCAAACTCATTGGGAATTTGGTGTTGATTGTGGGGTCCAAACACAGCGCCACCACTGCCAGCCGTGTGGTGAGAATGTTGATTGTAACCATGGTTGCCTTGAAAATGCATAGCTTCACCACCACCAGCAGCACCAGCTTGGTGATTATAGAATGGTTGTTGTATGTGCTGGCCATGTTGGGTTTGAGTGGGGAAAACATTTGTGGTACCATGGTGTAGTTTCTCACCAACACCACTACCACCTTTCATGTGCGGTGAACTCTGGGCCGAAGACATGAAATCTGGTTTGGGACTAAGATATTCGCCATTGGGTACATGAATTTGCTGTTGTTGTGCCTGCTGTTGGTGTTGTTGAAGACGATGAACCAAATGTTGTGGTGAGCCACCAGCAGCAGCTGCTGCGGCGAATTCAATATCATATTTGCCGTAATAATCTTGTCCGGGTGGCCCAGGCGGTGGTTGGGGTTGATGATGCTGTTGTTGTTGTTGCCCATGTAATTGTTGTTGTGGTGACTGTTGCATTTGTTGTTGTTGTTGTTGTTTGCCATAATAACCTCCCGGATAAAAGGGACCATTATTCTCAGCTGCCATTCCTGCTGACATGTTAGCATTGTTATTGGACGAATTGTTGGAATTTTGGAAACGTCTCTTACTACCAGCCACTGGTCCAGTGCTACTGTTGGCCGTGGCCTGACTATGCTGTGAAGATGTATCGGAATCACGACGATAACCCGAGCCAATACCACCGCCCATGGATATGGGTGTATCATAGCCAGAGTATTGTGAGATCTTTTGGGTAGATGTTGACACCACCGATGATTCCTTTTTGATGTGTTGATCATCTTTTTTCTTGACTTTTATGGGAGCTTCTTCCAGATCATCATCTAGACTGCCGCTGGAGGCCACACTGGAATCTGCACTGACCATATTGGAGGCCGATACGGTGGTGCTGCCCAATAAATTGGATGATATGCCTGATTCCAGGGTAGAATTTGGTGTCACTAAGGGAGAATTAGATTTAGGATTAGAGCGTTACGAAATTTCAAATAATATTATACTTACAACTCCCAGCACTGGCATTGTTATTCGTAGCACTTGGTGTATTATTGTTGTGACCCCTTGAATTCGATGTGGAATCCGGTATATCATCGGAGGGCAATTCGCAACCTTGACATGATTTCTTAGAATTAGAATCTGCATGGCGAAACAAGAAACCAACACATCAAAGAAAGAAGATAATAAAATTAATTAATTTGAATTATTGCAAAAACGAAATGTTAAAAAAATTAATCAATCCAAACTAAATTATAACCCTCAATGTATGTGAACCGAATCGCTTACTCACAACAACAGCAAAAAAGGGTATCATTGGATTTATACGATTTCCGTCAAGTCAAAATAAAGATGAATACAAGAATAATTCAAGAAAATAAAAAAACGAATGAACGAACGACAACATCAAAGCAACTCTTGTATCCATTGACTGACAATGATTGATAAGTTTCAGTATAGTTGCTATCTGGATTTCTACTGATTTTTTTTTCGCCAAGCTTCATTGGACGGGGAGTAGCGTGTTATGGAAGGTTTATTTTTTTTCGGAAAAAGGATTGTTAGATTATGGGTGGTTACTTTGGTTCTTGCCTCAAACTAAGAATATTGCTTAGTATAAGGAAAGCAAAAATATTGTTTAACAAAAAAAGTTAATAATTACAAAAATTAACATTTTACCCTCATGGATAGAAACTTTCAATCTCCAAAATTGAATATTTTAGTATTTAGGAAGTGGATTTTCTATCATATTTTGGAATAGATTTTCTATAAAAATCATTTTTGTCATGAAAAATTTTACTGATTACATAAAATTACCACTGAGAACAAAGTGTTTTTGAAAGTTTAGATCGCAAAGCAATCTTCCACATTTTTTGAAATTTTCAGATTTAGATTCCTTGGAGTTAATCCATTTTAGGTATATAGTGTCTTCAGCAATGTTACTCACAACAGTGCGAGTATTACTTTGGTCAGCAATTTTAACCCGCAAGCGAGTTTCCAAAAGGTTGTTTTTTGCTCTCTTTCAAAAAATTTAGTTCAAAATTTCGTAGCAGATCGTAGCAAATGTATTGATCGTAAAATTCTACAATAGGTCCCAGAAAATACGAAAAGTCTAAATTTCACCTAGACGCCAGGAAATTCTTTTTTTCTTGATTTTAAACCCAAAAACTAAAATATATTTTTGGTAAATCAATTGGAATATATGGCCAAACCCTCGCAATTACTAAAATCAGGCGGTATCTTTATATAAGGGCTGTAACATAACATGGACTCTCATGGACACTTTTTTGGCTTGAAGCGTTTCAACATAATAAGAACTCAAAATATCAGGTTTTTATCGAAATTTAATGGAAATATAACTAAATTTTAAAAAAATATTTGAGTCGGGTTTTGGCCTATAAAAGGGGATTTTCAAAAAAAGTGGATCAATATGGTTCATATTTTAAACCACTGATTCCTGAATCCTCAAAGCTCTCTATAAATAAATATCCTTATTTAATGTTACGAAATACCTCTCAAAATATTTTCTCTTGTAACACGTAAATTTCGGAGTAATTTTTTTATAAAAACTATTAAAGCTAGATCTTCCCTTCGACACTTTATGCCATAAACGAAATCTGATGTTATTTTCAGGTATCAACTCGAAAAAAGGCCGAGAACAAGCTAATTAAAAACATTAGGAAATATTTGTATGTCTTTCTGGCAACAGGGATGCAAATATTTTCTTAATATATAATGAGAACAGAGATATATTTCCGTCGACGGCTTATAATTTAGAATGTGTTGTCATTTTTTATGATAAATAAATAAAGCATATATTGACTTGCTACGATCCCGTATAAAGGGAGTATTTAACTATATGTTGAAAAAGGATAAAAAATATTATTCTGTTGACTCATTTGAGGGTTAACATTTTGTTATACGTAATATCGTCTAAAACACTATATGCCTAAAATTTAAGGTTTAAAATGAAGCTTAATCCGAAAATTTTAAAAACTTTGGAAGAGGGATAAATTGCATTTTCTATTAAGGTCATAAAACGAAATTTCAGATCTCTAATTTCATCTCGAAAGAAAAATAAACAAATAAATCAGAAACATATGATCAGAACGTGGAATAAATAAGTACAGAGTCCATAAACATTTGTATATAATTGCAGGAACACATAAGGTTGCCGATTATGAAAAAGTGTAGATAAGTTCCATATTAGTTGGTATTTCCTATTAAAGTATCCTAATTTGTTTTTATACCCTCCACCATGGTATGGTATATTCTTCATCAGCATAAAATTCTATGTCGATTTAGCGATAGACGGACGGACGTCTATCCGTCTGTGGAAAACACTCTACCTAAGTCGATAAAATTGTACTCAAATGTATATCATGTCTGCAGGACTTATGGTATTGAAAATGGGCCATGTAGGTCCACGTTTTGGTATAGCCCCCATGCAACGGTACTTTCCGATATTCGGTATTTTGATTATTTTAGCGATCTTATTCACCCGAATTGTTTAAAATTTGTAATAAATACTATAGCCTATGACAGAAAATTATCTTTGCAGGTTCACGTCTTCGTATAGCCCCCATATAACGGTACCTCTTGATATTTGACATTTTTATGATTTTAGCGACATTATTCACTGATATTGCTTCAAATTTGGTATTTGATGTTCGTAATGGATTCCACTGCCTGAGACAGAAATTGTGTGTGCAGTTCTACGTCTTCGTATATCCCCCATATAACGGTACCTCCGATATTCGGTATTTTGATGATTTTAGCAACATTATTCACCGGAATTGTTTCAAATTTGGTATTTGATGTTCGTAATGGCTACTACAGCCTATGACAGAAAATTTTCTGTGCAGGTCCACGTCTTCGTATAGCCCCCATATAACGGTACCTCCCGATATTTGACATTTTGATGATTTAAGCGACATTATTCACCGGAATTGTTACAACATAATAGTACCCCATATAATAGTACCTCCCTACATTCGTTATTTTGACGATGCATGTCCAGATCATCGTATAGACCCTAATATAACGGCTACTTACGGTATTTTTAAGATTTTTAAAGAATTTTTAACGGATTTTATTCCTTTGAAAATTGTCAAATTTGTTCCAAGTGGTGGAGGGTATTCAGAGTTTGGCCCAGACGAACTTATAGCTTTTTTACTTGTTTTTTTTTAAGATTGCATATTCATATATTGAAACCGTATTTTTAATATCGGGGGGTTCCGTCACATGGGGGCTATATGAAGACGTGGACCTACATGGCCCATTTTCTGTTTTATGCTGTAGTATCTATTATGAACTTCAAATACCATATTTGAAACAATTCCGGTAAATAATATCACTAAAATCATCAAAATACCGAATATCGGGAGGTACCGTTATATGGAGGCTATACGAAGACGTGGACCTACATGGCCCAATTTCTGTCTTAAGCCGTATCATCTATTACGAACTTTAAATATTAATTTTGAAACAATTACGGTAAAAAATGTCGCTAGAATCATTAAAATACCGCATATACCGTACCATTACATGGGGGCTATACGAAGACGTGGACCTACATAGCCCATTTTCAATACCAAAAGTCCTGCAGACAAAGTACACATTTGGGTAAAATTTTATCAATCTACTGCATTTCGTTCGGAAGCTAGAGTGATTTCCACAGAAGGACGGACATTGATTAATCGAAATAGAATTTCATGCTGATCAAGAATATATATGCTTTGTGGGGTCTAAAATGTATATTTCGAGGTGTTACAAACGGAATGACAAACTCCATACTATGGTGGAGGGTATAAAAATTACAGCAAATACCTGTAATATGTCAGAAGCCACGAAGAAATATTATACCGGGGCTATATCAACTATTGGACATCAAGTGAATATTTTTGGCAGAGATTACATATCGGGAGTTTCAGTTCCATAAGTGCTATATACAATATTCGGCCTATATGGGATTCTAAATATTGAAAATTCGCAAGATTATTTACATTTATGTGGCAATGCGGACTAAAACCTTTAAAATAACGGTGGCTTATTGCTAAATATGAACCATTATAAGCCATTTTCATTGGCTATAATCCTAGACAAAATACAAACTGGTGTGACAGAGTTCACAACCAGACAGGCGGGTACCATTAAATTAATTTGGAAGTTATTATTGATGTAGAATATATAGATTCCATAACGCCTCGACAATCATTTCCAGGTATTTCAAATTTCGCAACTACTCTGGGACTGTATAATTTACTGTTTTTCGATGGTAAATCTGAATATTATTTACAAAAATCGTATAAATCCAATAAATATAAAAAAATATCTCTAAACCCACAAAAGAAACAAAAAAACATAAGTCAATCGTCACTTACTACTATCGGAGTGATCATCATCACCTTTTAGGCTATCTTTGTTATCCTCATCGTCCGTTTTCGACAGGGTTTGGCGCTTGTGCTTCATGCGTCGATTTTGAAACCACACTTTTACCTGTAAAATAAAAAGTAGCAAATGAACAAACATCAGTGGAATCCGCAATAATTAAAGTTCCACTAAGGAATGCAAAAAGGACATTCATTGTGTGCAAAACAAAAAATACCTTACCCTTTTTTTCAAAAGGCCACAGGGAGTAAACTAATTTCCTTTATATTGCACTTAATTATAGCCTACGACTCCTTTCAAGGACTAGAAACAAAGCAAGATACTCACCTGTCGTTCGGTTAAATCTAAACTGGCGGCAATCTCAATGCGACGTGGACGACACAAATATTTATTGAAATGAAATTCCTTTTCCAGTTCCAGCAGCTGGGTGTTGGTGTATGCGGTGCGTAAACGACGTGGCAGGCCATTTTCTGGAACGAATTCAGCTGCAATTGAAAATTGCATTTTCTTTGATATACGATTAAATGGGATTTTGAAAGTAACACCGAACCAATGAATGAAGAAGGCAAAAAAATAAATAAATTACCAGACTTCTTCAGCTGGCTTTTAACTCCCCCTCGGCAATGGCTCTGCATAACTCCTGTTGCCATTTTTTGTAGGTTTTTAATTACTCTTAGCATGCAACATGCCACAATTTTATTTCTTACCAGCAAGTAAAAAAAATGGGGCCATGGGTTGGCCTTAAGTAAGAAATTGGCTTGCTGGCTGGCTGACTGACTTGGTGGGCCAGGTAATTCAAAATATGTATGGCTTAAACATTTATTATGCAGGCAACATGTTTGGCAAGGGAGGGAGTTCAACTGGTTCTTGGTGTGGTGTTGTCAAGAAATATTGCATTCATTTTGTGGCATTTTTTATTACATTTTCTTTTGTTCTTTGAACATAAAGGGAGGTATTTTTTCTAATTTTAAAAATAATTCTTAAACTAATTGAAATCTAGCAGCATTATTAAATATTTATAAGTTCAGGTTATTCATTCCGTGAAGTAAAATTTCTTACATCTGCGTTTATGTCACTTTGCAAGGTAATCCATCAGCATGTCACTCGCTCACTATTTATTATATGGCATTACAAATTGAATTTGTAAAATAAGTAGGTTTTTAGAAATGCATGTTCACATTTATAACACTAAAGAAGAGGTTTATAGAGGGATTTTTTAGTGAGAGAATGGGTATGGGTTTTTAGATTATCAACAATTCTAGTTGAAACACAAAACAACCTCAAAGAATTGAAATTATAATTGAACAAGTAAAAAAACATTAAGTTCGGCCGGGCCAAACTTTTAATACCCTCCACCTTAGGGTAAAGGAAACATTAGAAGAAATGTGGCAAAAACCATTAAAATGCCGAATATCGGGAGGTACCGTTATATGGGGGCTCTACCAAATCGTGGACCTACACATGCAAGGTTCCGCCAACGGAGCTAGAACCCATTATGACCTACAAATACCAATTTTCAGACAAATACGTGAAAAAAAGGGGCAAAAATCATCAAATTACCGAATATCGGGAGGTACCGTTATATGGGGGCTATACCAAAACGTGGACCTATAATTACAATGACTCGCCACACGAACTGGGACCCATTATGATCTACAACTACCAAATTTTCAGTGAAATTCGTGAAAAAATCAGTCAAAAATCATCAAAATACCGAATATTGGGAGCTACCGTTATATGGGGACTATACCAAAACGTGGACCTATACATACAATGTTTCGCCACACGAACTAGGACCCATTATGACCCACAAATACCAATTTTTACACAAATCAGTGAAAAAATGTTGCAAAAACCATCAAAATACCGAATATCGGGAGGTACCGTTATATGGGGGCTATACCAAATCATGGACCCATACATGCAATGTTTCGCCACCGGAGCTGGAACTCACTATGACCAACAAATACCAATTTTTAGACAAATCCGTTAAAAACTGTGGCAAAAATAATCAAAATATCGAATATCGGGTGGTACCATTATATCAAGGCTATACCAAAACGTGGACCTATACATGCTATGTTTTGCCACACATACAGGGACCCGTTATTACCTACAAATACCAATTTTCAGACAAATCCGTTAAATAATGTGGCATAAATCATCAAAATACCGAATATCGGGAGGTACCGTTATATGGGGACTATACCAGAACGTGGACCGATATATCTCATTTTCAATACCAACCATCCTAGACACAATACCAATTGCTCTGCTAAATTTTGGCGCTCTACGTCAAATAATGTGGGCTGTATCGTGATTTCAACAGACAGACAGACGGAAAGACAGACAGACGGACATCGTTAAATCGACTTAGAATTTTATGCTGATTATGAATATATATACTTTATGGGGTCTACGACGAATATTTAAGGATGTTACAAACGGAATGACAAAGTTAATATACCCTCCTTTCCAAGGTGGAGGGTATAAAAAAATTATAATTCCAATAACTAAAATCACTGGTATATATAAATACTGCTGTTCTATGGAGGGTATATAAGCTTTGTCATTCAGTTGGTGACTCCTGGAAATATGCATGATAGACCCTAAATAGTATATATATTCTGAACCGGCGTAAAATTCTACGACGATTTAGCGACGCCCGTTTGTCTGTCACTGTCTCTCAACTGTAATCACACCATTTTTCGAAAGAATTGAAATAGAAAGCTAAAATTTTGCATTTATGTGCATTTTGCCAGTAGAGTAGTAGTAGGTTAGATTCGTAAATGGGCCATGCCGGTACACGTTTTCGTATAGCCCCCATATAACGGTATCTCCCCATGTTCGATATTTTGATGATTTTAACGACACATTAACCCAAATTGGTTCAAATGTTGTATTCGAAGTTTGTAACGGGTACTACAGCTTTTGCCATGCCTCTAATATCTTGCGAAATTCCGTGTCTATTAGTTTTTAATTGCGATCTGTAGAGCGACTGTAAAATCACATAAATTATCAGTTATTGGTCCATTTCAACCCCTAAATATTTTGCGGGCAGCTTCAAAAAGCAATAAGCTTCTATTATGACCCTAACCTTAACTACATGCTAAATATATGATATGAAAAAAATGCAACCAACTTCAGATTGCTTTCATTTCTAAGCCACTCGTCCGACAGCTGTTAAAATTATTCCAGTGACAGCTCATTATATTGTTTACAAGCGTAGAAAAGCATGTTGGTGAGAATTTTCCAGAAAAAAGTTAAGCGTGATGGAATTCAAGCGTGATAGTGTGACTTCTTTATATTTGCCTGAAACCACAAGTGGCTATCGTTAGAGCACTCCAACATTTAAATGTAAATAAATATTTTGTGTCTCGTACCATCGCTCGTTACCGTGATACTGGTAGATTAGCCTGACGTCAAGGAAGTGGACGGAAGAAAACAGCAGCATCAGCAGAATTGTCCGAAAAGTAAAGAAGCTACTTGATCGAAACCCACATGGGCTGAACATATCGTCAAATATTGAAAAATAAATTCGGAGTAAAGGCATTGAAATTCCAAAAAGAACTTACATCGCAACAGTAAGAAAATAGACACAAAAGAGCTAAATAGTTGCTTCGCTTGTCCTAAAGTGGTGAACTGCCGAATTTGGGTTTCTCCGATGAGAAAATATTCGTTGTCCAGCAGTTTGTAAACAAACAAAATTAACGTGTTTACTTGTCAAAGAGGTCAGCTGAAAATATGCCCCATCGGTTGGCCACCAGAACTCAAGAGCCATGGTGATGGTGTGTGTCGCCATAACAGCCGATGGTCGCTCTCCGCTCGTATTAATCGACCGTGGCATCAGAATAAATGGCGAATATAATCAGGAAAATATTCTGGAGGGCGTTTTAAAGCCTTGAACATTCCATTAGGACTCAGCACGCGCCACCCAAGAATGGTTACAAAATGAGATTCCTCGCTTAACTTCCAGCGCACAAAGGTACCAAAATCTCCGGATACCAATCCGTGGGACTATTGTGTCTGGAGTATTTTGGAAAGCAAGGTTGGCACTAAAAAATACCAAAGTTTCGATCACGTCAAGCAAGCGCTTCGCCGGGAATGGGCCAAAATACCGCAGAGCAACATTCTGGCAGCGTGTGACGGTTTCATTGGCCGTTTGAAGACCATAATTCGTGCCAAAGGTGGCCAATTCGAACAAATCTAAACTTATTCTAAAAGTTGATGCTATTTCTGAAATTGTTTGCTTTCATTAAATTAAGTTTAAAAAAATGTAAAAATCATGACATTTGACTGTGTTGCAGTTTTTTATCCCACCCTGTATAAAATTCGTAGTTTTCGAGCACTCCCGCTCCCCAGCATTTTTCATTCGAGAGTAAAGTAAGCAAATTTTTAATGCTTTATTTATGACTTGGACCATGAGTAAACTAGCCTAAATGGTCAATCGCAAGATTTTCGCCATCGACTTATATCATTTGAAAACCTTAAAAACTAAAATAATTATTTCATTGGAAAAAGCTTACATTGGAGTTGTGCCTAAAAGGAAACCAATACATCGAATTAGTCTGGCAATTTTTAAGAAATTTTCTGAATAGTTTGGTTGACAATAACTAATTTTCATTTCTATTTTGTCCCACGAAATGAGTCGTTGTTATACACTTATTGCCGGTAAAGATCACCAATCTAAGGATGAGAGCTCATTCAGCGGGAAGGCAACAACATTTCAAATATCTATCTTAAATTGGTCGACCTCTATCGTAATCTCAAGGGACGAGGTGTAGAAAATAATTGACCTCAATCTTATAAAAAAGAGGAGTTAATTTTAATTGCCTAGAATTCTTCAGGAGGTGAACAAGACTAGATACCTTCATCATACATAGTAAGCCCCTTTGAGAATGTTTTCAATGTTTTTCATTCAATTGAATAGAATGCAGGTAAATCATTCTAATATGGTTTATACAATTCTATTTAATTTAAAGATTATAATGCTCCTAAAAATAATTATTAAATACAACAACTTATAACCAGCAACGGGGACCGGGTAGCTGCACAAAAGAATTATTCTCCATCCCTTTTACATTAAAATCCAATTCTGGATACAAGATATAAACTGCAACCCTCGTATAATGCTTTCAAATTTAATAAAACCGACGTAAACTATTTCCTAGGTTTTAGCTTTGAGCTTATTTTGTTTTGAATCTACTTCATAATTTTTTTACCGTTTCATAAATAAGTTATTCAAAAAAAAGCGACGTAAAGTAATTAACAAAAAAAGTTTAAGGGGAAAGATACAAAAAATTCGAATCAATCAATCAAGTTCCACTTGAAAAGCGAAACACATATACACACACATTTACGATGTTTACTTTGCGGCGTTTTACTCAAAGATGATGAAGCTGTTGTTGCTTTTGTTGTTAGTGCTACTGTTTTTTGGTTTTATTTTTTCGAGAAATTATTTTAATGAATAGTAGTCGACTTAGCG